CTTCTAACACGATTTAACTCTCCCGCTTACGCCTTAAAAGCGCGAAATATATCGCGCGTTAATTGTCTCAAATTGGCCAAAAATGGCAATCTTTAAAGCCCCGTAACTTCACGAAAAATGATCACAGGTAAAATACCTTTTCAAATTTAAGCTCAGGACAACAAGACCTTTCGAATAATATAAAAAAAATTCCGTCAAAAATGGCTAGTTAAAAAGTCAAAATTTGTCCGGTTAAAAAAAAAACCCACCAAGAGCAAAAAATTTTCGTTACTTTCGTATCAAAAATCGGAACAAAAACATTGACAGAAAAACGGTCACAAATACCAACAGAACTATTCGTATCAGGATGAAGCCCTGAAAGTTCAGACAGCCTTTTAAGGTTAATGGAGCAGTAATAACAAAAACAAAATAAAAAAAATTTGATCTACTTAACAATCTCCCCTCCCACTATTATATCTACTAAAGAATCCCCCTCCCCCTTTCTTGAAAGGTGGGATTGTTAAATAGATCCAAAAAATTAAATGGAATAAAATTAAATTAAAAACTTTTCTAAAAATTGAAAATTTTTCTTTGAAAATCATCACCCCACACGCCATATAAACTACAAAACAATAGATTTTGCTCCTTGTAACAAATCAATTATGGCAAATAGGCTATTTTCAACCAATTTGGAACAAGTTCTAAGACGGATTAACTCTCCCGCTTTCGCCTTAATAGCGCGAAATATATCGCGCGTTAATTGTCCCAAATTGTCCAAAAATGGCAATCTTTAAAGCCCCGTAACTTTACAATAAATAATCACAGGTGAAATATCTTTTCAATTTTGAGCTCAGGACAACAAGACCTTTCGAATAACACTTAAAAAATTTCTTCAAAAATGGCCAGTTAAAAAGTCAAAATATGTCCGGTTAAAAAAAACCCAGCCCGAGCAAAAATGTTCCGTTACTTTCGTTTCAAAAGTCGGAACAAAAACATTGACAGAAAAACGGACACAAATACCAACAAGACTGCTCGTATCAGGGCGAAGCCCTGAAATTTCCGACTGCCTTTTGAGGTTTATGAAGAAGTAATAAATTAAAAACCAAAAAAAATTGGATCTACTTAAGAATCTCCCCTCCCCCTATTGTATCTACTAAAGAATCCCCCCTTTCTTGAAAGGGGGGGGGGGTTGTTAAGTAGATCCAAAAAATTGGGTTTTCACGACTTCAAAAGAACTTATGAACACACATTTGAGTATGCCTTACTTCTTGACTTTCAATTGAAAGTACGGTTCATTCAAAAAATGTCACTAACGTTTCGAAAAAGATTTGAAATGGTGTAAACATAAAAAAAGAAAAAAACTTGATATTTTTGCTGACAACAGAAAAATTAATTTTTAGGACATTTTTCCTAAAACCAACAACAAACGTTGTATTAGTTGTATAATGTTTCACTGTCAGAGCTTTTTTTATGAGATTTGTAAGCTGTAATGCAAAAATTTCAAACAAATAAAAAAAGTTTAAAAGGAACTGTTTTTAGTTAATTTGAGCGAGGGGTCTCTCCTACTGTTTTCTCATTCCACAATAAATTAACAAAAAAACTAATTCTAAATAAGTTTTTAGCATCCTTAAATGAAAAAAGCGCCGCGTTTTGCAATTAGAACCTAGAGTGTTTTGTCAGTTTTATAACGGTTTAATTTTCCTTTCGTCAGAAATCTGTATCTAATACAAAGAAAATGCTTTTCTGGGCCACAGGGACTGTTTTTGCCAGTTTTTTCTTAAAATCCAGTTAGCTTCAGAGCCAACTTGAAGTTATTTTTGACTTTTGTTTACTTTGATTTCACCATAATTTTGCATTACAAGTTTTGAATTGCACGGAATAAACATAGTATTTTTTGAAACATTATGACAGGTGAATATTTTGCTCATAATCTGGTTATATGTTGATCATAAGCATATGTTTTAAGGTTTTGCGTGGCAACCGATGCGTGCCTTCACTGAAAACATTCTGGACAATCTGAACTCGGGGGACAATTTTTGATAAGATTTCAAAAGTGGAGCAACGTTTTTTCAATAAAGTTCAATTATCAAAGAATCGTTTCATAAAAATTGGAAAAAATGTCTCAGTAGAACTTTGAAACTTTTTCTAAAAAAGGACTTGATTGGTTCAAAGTAATTTTAAAAAGGTTTTTCAATTCTTAGTTTGAAAAAGCATAATTTTTTGTTCAACGCACAAGATAATTCTTTCCATTCTAAGAGAGTGAAAATTCTAAATGTGGCTTAACATATTCAGCAAAAACTGTGGATGATAGAGTTTTTAATCTCGGTTACATTGGCAATTAAAATTTTAGATATTTCAAACGCCATTAAGGGGCGGTTATTCAGTTACTTTTGGCAGAAGTCTTTGCAAACTATGTAGGGAGACCAATTGTTTCCTATTTCGAGGCGCATTTGATTCGTCTTTTGTCTTAATTTTTCGACCTGGCGGAGTAATTCTAGCACTGCTTATTTGATTACCTAGCTGTTGGTAACTAGCTTTCGCAAATTCGCATTTTCGGAGTTTCATAGAAGCACTCCCTACGTCAAACTTCTTCAACATTTGCACTATCAGTGCCATATGTTTCATAGTTGTTAATTTCGAAAAAACAAGAATATCGTCCATGAAAACTTGTGCTTGCCGCACTTCTGTTGTAAGATTGTTGATAACCTTCTCGAACTTCGCGTATGTCAGTTCAAAAAAGTAGTCAGTTCGTAGTCAGTTCAAAAAAAGCGTTCTTGAAGTCTGAAAAATAACACTCTTCAATGATTTTTGTTTCTAGAGCTAGTTATCCATATACATACGTAAAATTAAAAGGTGAAATATATCGCGCGTTAATTGTCCCAAATTGTCCAAAAATGGCAATCTTTAAAGCCCCGTAACTTTACAATAAATAATCACAGGTGAAATATCTTTTCAAATTTGAGCTCAGGACAACAAGACTTTTCGAAAAGCATTTAAAAAATTCCGTCAAAAATGGCCAGTTAAAAAGTCAAAATGTGTCCGGTTAAACAAAACCCAGCCTGAGCAAAAATGTTCCGTTACTTTCGTATCAAAAGTCGGAACAAAAAAATTGACAGAAAAACGGACACAAATACCAACAAGACTGCTCGTATCAGGGCGAAGCCCTGAAAGTTCCGACTGCCTTTTGAGGTTTATGGAGAAGTAATAAATTAAACAACCAAAAAAAATTGGATCTACTTAACAATATCCCCTCCCACTATTGTATCTACTAAAGAATCCCCCCTTTCTTGAAAGGGTGGGGGTTGTTAAGAAGATCCAAAAAATTAAATGAAATAAAATTAAATGAAAAACTTTTCTAAAATTTGAAAATTTTTCTTTGAAAATCATCACCCCACACGCCATATAAACTACAAAACAATAGATTTTGCTCCTTGTAACATATGAATTATGGCGAATAAGCTTCTTTCAACCAATTTGGAACGATTTATAAGACGGATTAAATCTCCGCTTACGCGTTAATAGCGCGAATTATATCGCGCGTTTATTGTCCCAAATTGGTCAAAATGGCCAAAATGGCAATCTTTAACCCTCATAACTTTACGAAAAATGATCACAGGTGAAATATCTTTTCAAATTTAAGCTCAGGACAACATTAGCTTTCGAATGATATTAAAATATTCCGTCGAAAATGGCTAGTTAAAAAGTCGAAATTTGTCTGAAAAAAACCCACCCCGAGCACAAATATTCCGCTACTTTCGTATCGAAAATCGGAACAAATATCAGAAAATACTATTCGTGTTAAAATCATCTCGTAACATAGCACATAGAAAAACTCTTCTTCAATCGTTGAAAAAATTAAAACATGGAGCCAGAGCAATAATGTCTTCTGCGCAATTCAAAGATGCTTCTTGAAAATTAAGAATCATGCCGGGACTCTTTTTTAAAATAATTTTGAGCAAAACATTACCCACTGCGATTTTGGTGCCGCGGGTTTTCCTAAAAGAAAAGGTTTTAACTTTATTTGATTCCATTTTAAATTACGATGCATCTGATTTTTTTCTTCATGTTCTGAACGACGAAAAAAGTTTGTACCTGGTATATTCTATATCTTTATAAAGTAATCACATTTTGTTTTATCTGCTGACGTGATAAAGTCATTTGATGCTGAATCTTCGAGTCAGTAAAAAGCAACAAATAACCATGTATTACATTTATGAGAGATAAAAACTGGACTTTTGAGCCAAAATTACCAAAACTCATCAGTTTTAAACCACAGCTTGAGCATCTTTTTGTGCGCTTTGAACTGAAGTTTAACCATTAATTGATTAAACATCGCTGTGTTTTTTGGTTGTTTACTATTGAGTTAAAAACTGAATTGTTTGTTGATAAATGAGCTTGAAGAAAACTGCATTGAAAATTTTACGGATTTAAAATACCTGGCGCGTTATGCTAAAAGTCGTTACCAAGGCAGCGATTTTGCTGTTTGTGGGGTTCGTTTGGAAAAGCAATGCGGGGGGCGTTTCTGATCGCCTTGGTAAGTATACCAACTTATACTATAGCGCAACAGTTTTCAGCTGTTTCATAACAAGCATGGATTCATAACAAGCCAAGATAAAGGCAAAGTTTTCTGTTTTTAGTTAATTTATTGAATATAATATAATTTAATATAATAATATAATATAATGTAATAATTATTGAAATAGTGGGACCTCATGAAAGTTCTAGACGCAAAAAATAACTAGATTCGCGAGAAAAAAGCTTTGATCAACAAAATAACTCTCCGTGGAATCTGCGGGAAAATTATAGATATAGACTATGCTAAAGCAGGCTTGATAGTCTTACATACTCTGCTGTTCGCTGAATTGATAGAAAAAGAAAAAGTTACCCCAAAGTTAATGTTTTTGGTTTTGGTTTTGGTGATGATAATGTATTTGAAATATTTTCGATTAGAGGTTTTATTTCTTTTTTGGCTTCGAATTTGATTTCATGTTGATTCCATTTTAATTTCCGATTTTGTTCAGACATTGATCACAAGTCTTCCACTACTACTTCTGTGACCATAAGTGTCGACTACTGGCGACTAGATGGCAGTTACAATGGATCGAACACCCTCATGCTCCGACGGAATGGAATCATCCTCTCAACCGCGACGTGGACTAACTCACCCAACACGTTAGTAACTATCCAAGCATTGTCGTTAAGGTTCATATATTTTTAAGCTTTTTTTCCGAAAAGTATTTAGCAACTTTTCAGTGGAATATAAACCAACCGAAATTACGTTACTTTCATACATAAAATTTCTGTAACAATTGCGAAGATATTCAGTTTTTTGAAAACGTGTAAACTCAAAAATACCACTTGGTTAAATATACTTGCTTTTGCACAATGAAGTTGTAAAACAAATTGAAAATCATCAACTACACCGGCATGGAAACATACAAATTGAGCTTGTATACGATTGAATGAAACAGTATTAATTATTAGGCATAAAAATAATCTCAAAAAACTAAAGGATCTATCTAAAATTGTTTTTTGTGTGTTTTTTATTTAAAACTTTCAAGGTTCAAACTTAAATGTTTGTTTAGATTCAACTCTTTATAGCTTTTGTTTAAAATCTTCCATTTTTTACAATTATTGTTTGCTACAATTTTCTCCAACTTTTTTAAAAACCTTCTTAGCTTTATTTGTTTAGTGCGCTTGTTCAGTTTCACAGGGACTCCAAGGGTTTAACTGACTACCAATTTCATTTGTTTTATAATTTTTGTCAAATCGAGCATTCTAGTCAAGCTATGCTGGGTAATGAATTGTTCGGTTGGTAAAAATTTAGACTTCAAAAAAAGATCTCGTGCATAGAAATATTTTTACTGAACATTGATTCCCTAGTGAATTTGTCCGATGACAAAACAAAGTTAGCTATGTAATACCACTAGTTTTTTGGAACAGGCATTTTGCAGGCTGTTTGAAGGTTAAAGGGTTTCTCTTAAGACTTTTTATTAAAAAAAAACTTAAAAAAACTCATTTTTTGGTTTGACGAAATTAGATCAAAGTGAGCCACCTATGTAGCCCAATATGGTTAAAGAAAGGTTCAAGGATCAAAAAATGCACAAAAGCAGTAGTGGTGTTTTTATGGCCATCAAACGAAAAAGTTTACTTAAGCAAAATCAAGATATTCATACCCCTTTTGGTTTTTATCATAGACAACCGAAATGCACTATTTTAAAAGAAAAGGTTCAAGAAAAAAAGCACTGTTTTCAAACTTGCACACTTCAAACTTCAATGATAAATTTTCTCCTTTAACCTCTGATTTGAGAAACTATTTTGTTCGCTCACCTTTTTTGAAGACAGTTGTTATATGTGCTTCTTTGAGGAATGATGGAAACTGGTTTTGCTTTGTATTTTTATTTTTCTTGCGAACTGGAAGTGTGTTCTGGTAGCATGGAAAAATTTTCATTTGTAAACCATGGAAACTTCGATTACCTTATGACAAAGGGTTAAGTGTATGATTGCGAAGGAGTTTAAGCGTTCAGGTTTGGAGAAGTTATCTTTTTTTACCATTAGTGGCCCGCTGAAACACAAAACCTTAGCAACAATTTGGAAAGTTTCTCTCACTCGTCTAACTCGTGAAGCAAACACTTCAAATTGCTTTTTAGCGCCAAAAAAAAACAAATAAAAAAATTAATTATGGTTTTTATAACCGACACTTTCTGTTAATTTTTATTGGTAATACTAAAAAGTTTTCAAACCAAAACAATCAAACATTTCAGTAATTTTTGGTTGATTTTTAGAAGGTTTTAGAGTTAGTCTAAGAATCGCTGTTGATCAGCACAACTTTTATGATAGAAAAACCAACAAAGAGAAAACAATTGTCAAAAAAAATGCTTAAATTTGGTGAAAAATGTGCAAAGATTTTTGATTGTTTAATGATAGTTCTAATCTGCAAACTTACAGATTAATCATTTGTGACGCTTTTCAAAATCCTTTTTGTTCAGATAGTTTTTGTGCCTTTCGTATTTCATAATTTTATATCGTTTTGCTCGAAAGATCACAGCTTTCATATCGATGCAGCCTAATTGTCGATTATAGTTTTTGTTGAATAATAATGTTTTTTGTTACTGAAAAACTTTTCCTATGAATTCTTACCCGAACTACCCTATGACGTATTTTTTCCACCTCTTTCAACATTGTCTTGCATGCTGTTCTCATAGGAGAACACTACACTGAATCATTGTCTAAAAGTAACTTTTGTATGCTCTCACTTTTTGTTTTGAAATCAGGGTTTTCCTTAGTTGGTAAATTATTCCAAAGAAACGACATAGCTTTTTTCTTGAGTACTTTTATTTGCTCTTCAAAGTTGAATTTGAGCACAAAGTTGGATCTAAGCACACTCGCACGCTTTTAAATTTCGAAACTTTTTCTATTCATCCCCCTCACATTAAGTTTTTTTGTTCTTCTGGATTTTGTGACCTTAACACTTTTAAGGCTGTCAGTGTTAAGGCATAACTTTTTAAAATAAATGGCCACGTCATTCAGCTCAGCATTCACTGTCAACGTCCTGTTTGCTTATCAGAGCTGTATCATTCGCGTAAAGAGTAGAACAAAGATGGTTACAACAAATGTTTTTATCCATATTGTTAATGATGAAGAGTAGATATCGAGGATAGAGCTTTTGGGAACTCCGAACTCATTGGTTGCAATTTCAGAAGTGAACGGCTCTATGAAAAATAAATGACTTCTTTTGCTGAAAAAGATTTTATATAAATCGTTCACACCGCCTCTAAGGGCAAAACTGTATTTTTAGCAATAAAATTGAATGCTTTACTGTATCCAGTGCTTTCTATAAAAAAGAGTCAAACCTACCTTTCAAGAACTTTTTTTTCCAAATGTTCCAAATTTTTTGAAATAGCTCTATTTTTGCATCAATATTTCTCATTTTTTGTCTGAAAAAAAACACTGTTTTAGTGCAAAATGATGGCATTTTTCGTAATTCAAAAATTTGATTACAGACTTAAAAAATAATGGAAAAACGAAGTGCTCTTAACATTTATTTGATAGAACAAGTACAAAAGCAAGTTTCGGTTTATCAGAGCAAACCTAATAAAATCATAAGCGGCGCTTGTGCAAAATTTTAGCGAAAACAATTTAAAATGTTCGAAGATCGATTTTACTGTCTTTTTTTTCTGATTAGGTTGTTTTTTTCTCTTTGTTTGAATGGTTTATTGAATTGACACCCAACTGTTACAAAACGTGATCAAACTTGTTACATAATTGATTTGAAGTATTTGGCTTTTTGACTGGCAGTTGTGTTTAGTTTGCTAATAGTCTCTCTTAGTCTTAAAATTTTAACAAATTTTGACCAAAACCTGTGTTTATAAAATTATTATAGGTTTCGTGGCTTTTAGGAAGCTAATTTCTTGGTATAAATTGTTGTTTTGTTTTCTTTTCATTCGGTTTTTTCCCTGTTTTTTGGAATCCACGAACAAAGCTTAAGACATTGGTTAAGTAAATCGATGGATGTCACACTTTTGTATTTGCAAGCAGTTTTTGGGATCATAGTTTTGGAAACAGAGCACCGAATATATTCATATGGCTTTTTCCGTTTTTGGATTAAATCATTATTGTGTTGACATATCGCCAAATTGGCTCCGTTTTTGAGATTCAGTAATTGAGACTCAGTTTCTGGGATTTTGTAATTGAGATTCAGTACTTGGGAGCGTGAAATCAAATGACTTTGTTCACAGGGATTAATTAACCTATTCATTTAATTTGAGTAAATTGGTATTGGATGAAATTTACCAAAACTTGAATTACAACAGAATTAAATTTTAAAGATTTCAAAATGTCTAATTTGAATTTTTTTATTTTACTTGAATGGCTTGAAATGAACTGATTTGTAAGCTTACAGGAAATGAGATCGAAGTTAACCTTTTTAAGAAGTGAGGTTGAAGCTGAGTATGTTTGTCTGGAATTGAGATCAAAGTTGGGGATGTTCAAAAGGATTTGAGATCGCAATTGGGTGTTTGACAGGAATTTAGATCAAACGTTGGACATTCCAACTGGTAGCTAATCAAAAACAATTAAGGAACGTATTTTGAAACGCTACTACACATACATATATGTAAACGGAATTCTCAAACAAAATGCGGATTCCACTTACAGTTTGCGGATTCTACTTACAATTTGAGGATTCCATTTACAGTTTGCGGATTCCGCTTACAGTTGCGGATTTCGCAACAGCTCAATAAAACTATGCGCATGTCTCACCATTTGTTTGTTCTGGATTCTGCGAATACTGTTACGGTTTCCGCAAATTCGCCTATTTTTGGAGCTATTTTGAAAATTACAGTGTTTTAGGTATTTGTTTGTGGAAACCAAAACAGCTAAGAAGATCAAAAAAATGTAGCAATGTTGCAGATTCCGCAACAGATCTGACTTGGGCCTGTTGCGGAATAAGCTTACAATGCACAGAATGCTCAGTTTGGCATCGTAATGTCATAATATCTACACCACTTTAACATCTAACACTGAAGTGATAACTTCATGTGGTTTTCAGTATTCCAGCTGTACAATTCTCATTCAAATTGCTATAAAAATTATTGTCAGTGAATCAGCAGTTGTTTGAGTAAGCTGAAGATTGAAACTGCAAAACATCATTTTAATGATTGGGGTACGGTAGTAAGCTCTCAGGTGGTTGACGATCAAATCCCCGCATAGAACTTTTTCACTCATTGCAGGAACAATAATATCACTGAGATGATCCTCTAAAACTTTGGTAACTTTTTCATTTTTCGCACGATAGACACAATATACGCAGCTCATTATGGTATTCGACTTAACCGAAGATAGTTCGATTGTAAATATTTGTACTTCGTTACAGTTATGTTTTTTGAAAATTGAAAAGTTCCTATCCGCTCATACGTAAAAGCCAACGCTAGTTCCCTTTTTTCCGATTTTGAAGGATCCAAACTGGATTCGAACTGAAGAAAAAACATGATTTTTTTTCTATTTTTTCTGAGGGCGACATGAAAACCGATTAATTTGACAAAATTTTAGACTTTCGCAGGTTGTCAGTTGGTCTCAGATTCCCAGTTTTTAGTCTACAGTATCGCATTTGATTTAGTCATCCTAATGTTTGGCACAAGGACTGTTCCTTGCTTGGAAAAGATTTGAACTGACGTTATTGCGCCATACGAAAAAATCGGAAAAGCATGCATCAAGTGTCCTGAATTTTTTTCAACATAAGTAATTAACTTACACAAAAAATGTTACTTTGTATTTTAAGTTTCTCAATACAAAAAAACACGTGTTAGAACTTCTAAAACATTATTTCTGCTCGTAGCTGAAACTGGATTTAGTTTTATAACCCTTTTCGATATATTAGTTTTATTCTAGTTAAGATGAGGAAGTTAGGGGAAAACCCATCTTAAAGTCTTGCCGGATTCGTCTAAGAAAGAAAGGCTGGTTTTCACGAGTTGTGTTTGTTCCAGGTTTTTTGGCATTTTTTTAATTTCAAAAAAGCCTACCAACTTGTCCACAATCACGATAGCCAAGGATTTTCTCATATAGTGCTGACTTCAAATTAACTGGACGAAACGAAATCAAAATGAAAACAGTTAAGGCGTTTTTAAAGCAAAAGTTGGCCCCAAAGTTAACCTTGAGAGTCATTTTTAGTCGAGAAAAAATTACGGGTCAACCAATAAGCATATTTATCAAAGTTATTTTTAAATCTGGACTCTTTGAAATCCTGGCAGGTATTACAAAGTTTTCCCTCGGCTATCACCTGGAATTTTTGAAAAAAATGGGTTTCAGGACGTATTTCAACAATTTCGAGGACACCGGAGGCTACTGGAACACAACTGGAGACGGACTGGAACCTGGATACACTTATGAATACACGGTGGAGCTAGACGGAGTGTTAAAAAAAACTGAAAACTACTGCACAAGTAAGATTAGATCTTTTACTCTTTCCCAATCAGACAAATGTATGAAATTATATCTGACTTATTTTTAACTGAGTAAATTTTGATTATTATTATGATTTTTATCAAAATTATGATTATTGTGACTATTATGATCATGACTATGATTTTTATGGTTATGATTTTCATTATGGTTGTTGTTGTGATGCTTATGATTATTATGACAAAAGTCGGTAAGTTTTGCATTTTTCAACCCAAGAAAAAAAAAACAGTTTTTTTTTGTGCTCAATCTAGATCAAATATGTTTTATCTTTCTCGAACAAAAATGGGTTTGTCACAACTTTCTTGACGAACAGTTTTTCTTTGTTTATGAAACACTGATGCAACGCTGCACTTTATAAAAGCTAATAGAACAGTAGTCGCGGGCTTTCACAGTTCAGTTTAAACCATGTTTCGAATGTGCTCGAATTATTCCTCGACTATCTCGACCAAAGTTGAGATTTTTCTTGATCCCAAACTTGGTTAATTTTAGACCTCGTGCTCAGTTTCAAATTGCTTCTCGTTATCCGGTTTTCATTACATAAACTTGAAGCAGTTGAAAATTTGTCAATGTCGAAAAATATGTTTTGTACTCACGGAAAGGTTTTACACTTTGTTTTACCGATTATATAATCAAAACAAAATATGGATGGGATTCAATTCTCGAAACAAATAATAATTTTCTGGTACGTCTTTACGCTTTTTGATTAAAAAGACAACGCAACAGATCTTACGAAACAATTTCTTTCCTAATAGCTAAGATTAGACTTTGTTTCGAAGACTTTGTCACATTATTTACTATTGATAAAGAGCCTTTTTAGCGAGTTTTCAATAAAATCCAACGCTGTGAGATTTTTAACAGCTCATTAGCACATTTCAAATATCACTTCAGATAAAGATATATTTTTTTCACAAAAGATGAAATTTTTTTAGCAATTCCCTGCTTAAAGCTATGTAAAAATGAAATAAAGGACAGATTTGACACCTCTCAGCCGGACCAAATAGCTGTTAAAAACTTTGCTAATAAAATGTTACGATTATATCAAATTTGTCAACATAATTTCAGATCAAAAACAAATTTGTGATCTCAATAATTTATCCAGTATAAAACGTCAACCGGTATAAAAGTTTAAAAGTATTCAACGTCAACCGGTATAAAAGTTTGAAACATTTGAACATAAAACTTAATTTTCACTTCAAGGTTTTTTCTGATATTCATGTGAAAATTTTAATTATAATTCAGTACATGAGTTAATCTAAGATTTACTCAAGAAAATGGGCGGATTTAACAAAAAATTAAAAAGTGTTCGCCAACGCTTTTCTATTAAGTCGAAATTGTGACTGCAAAAACTTTAACCGAGTTTTCGATTTTTCTTTTCACTATTGTCATGAGGCGCCCTTCGGTAACTTGCACTTTGTGCGTAAATTAATATTTGTTTATGTATTCACGTGTTCATTTTTCTATGTGTGCTTTCTTAAGGTCAAATCTAACCGGTCACAGCATGGTGCCGTTATGCTTTGCGCTAAGCCAGTTGCGCGATATCCTTAACAAGATACACTCATATTGTAAGCTGAGTGCATATTCTATTCCTGTATCATTTCTTCTCTTAAGTCTAAACAACGGCGTTTACAAACGTCTATTCAATCGTTACAGTGCATCTACCTATTCTACCATTAATCTTTCTGTCTAGGATACTTACTAATTTACTATTAACTTTTAACCCTACAGTTTTGAGTCCGTACTGGTCGTGTTATCTCATGGCGCAGCCAGCAGTTCATGTGAATGAAGAAAGGGCTGACTTATTAGGCATGCCGCCTTTTCGGGCGAATTTCTCAGTTAATCCCCCTACTCTTGTGAGAGACGTCGATTGGGCAGTTCATCTGGGCTGTGGGACTCAAAAAAAAACCTTCATCCCAAACGATGTGTTTGCTGACCCGGCGGCAATTGTTGATCAACCACCCCCGAAACCGGAGACATCAGCAGCTACAGAAGACGCAGTAGCCCGAGATGCACGTGTCCTTCGCAGCCAGGCGGTTGTTCGGATGACTGAAGAATGGAACGCAGAGCTCGAAAAGGTCCTCGCTTTGTCCAGAACTGATTTTACTATGAGGCAGCTGCTCGCCTCAAATGAAGACTATTTTTCTCTCATGGGAACGAGGAAAAGCGTCGCTTTACAGACTCCAATCCAGACCTTAACTTTAACGTATTCTCTTTCAAAGACGTCCACAATGTGCGAGTGGCATTATTCCAAACCGCTCGCGATTATACAGAAGACCGGATTTAACTATACAATACAATTTTTATGCTGAAAACAATACAATACAATACAATACAATACTATACAATACAATACACCTATGCTTCTTTTTTTTGCGCGACTATCCGCTCAGGCGGCGTTATACAATTGGCCTCAACACCAAGAGCGGGACACCATCGAAGATTTAATTGTCGGCGGAGTTCTCGATGTGGAAGTTCAGCGTCAACTAATCAGGGCTGGCGAAAATCTCTACAGTCTGCAGAAGTTAGCGTTGGAATGCGAGAAGGCGGTAGTAGCTCCCCTCAGTTTCAAAAGTTATTGCCGCATAATTATCAGTCGACGGGGATGACTCGAATCAACCAAGAACCGACATTCTCGATTCAATCAGAAAGAAATAGAAATAAATCTGAGAATAGGGAGGGATCTGCAAACCGCGCATCCAAACAGAATAACAACTATAACAAGCAGTGCTGTTTTGCGGAAACCAATTTTCGCTAGAACACTGAAAATCGTGCCTCGTGAGAGAGGTTACATGCAACCTGTGTAGGAAACGTGGGTATTTCGAATGCTGTAAATTTTCGAAGAAACGGGTGAATCTTTTGCATGAGGATGGAAATCAAATTTTTTCGTCTACCATGGAAGACTGTAGTTTTACTGATGTCGTTCATGATAGCGAACTGGAACACGATGTATTCATGGTAAAGGACATGATGGAAATTAATAGCATCGAACTTCTTTAACCTCAGTCTGGTAACCCACGAAGCCTCAGCATACAACAAAAAACCTTCTACGCCACCGTTGATATGGTTAGTTCTGTATCGTTTCTCAACCAACGTACCCTAGTCCTCTACTTCAAAAGAACCCTAAATTTATTCTTCAAAAACGTCGCTCAATTCCCGCTAAACACTTTGTATGTGGATTATAACAAAATGCCAATGAAACTGTATGGTATGATTGTTATCCCAATCTCGTCAAACGGATGGAAGGTGACCGCCGCGTCGTTTTTAGGTTCAAAAAACGTGGTTCGTAATCTACTTGACTTGAACTTACATCGCTACTACCCAAACAAAGAGGACATAAATTGCCAAACAAAGAGGACAGAGAACATTTCGAGTCCAGTCTCAGGGTATTGGCGACATCACTTTACCAAAAGAAATACTCATGTTATCGAACGACTGGGACACTGAAGCAGCCATAAAAATTTTTCTACAATCAAAGTACCTCTAATACCTCGTCACGTTAAAGGCAGAGAAATCCCTATTCATATCCAAGATCGGGTAGCGCAGGAAATGAAAAATTCGGTGAAAGATAAACATTCAGCAGAGCTGGAAAAATCTAGGACCAATCTTTTCATTGGTCACACAACTCCACAGAAACATGGTTCTATTAAATTAGCTCTAAACACAAAACCTATGAACAATCAGATCTGGAAAAACAAGTATCAGATGCGAATTACGCACGAACTTATAGATTCCGCAGCTCAGATTGTTACATAGGATGTTCCGGGTCAAGTGTGGTTCACATCGCTAGATCTCAAATGCGCTTTTAGTCAATTACCTGTTTCTGACCTAACCAGCAGTAATTGTATCTTTAGCATCTTATGTGGCGAGGCAACTGGAAGTTATTGGTTCAAGACTGGATTCTACAGACTGACAGACATGCCCACCGAGCTCCAGATTGATCGTACACTCACTGGTGTAGTAGGAGCGATATGTTACCTTAATGATATCCTAATTGTGACTAAAGGGGATGTCTACGATCATATTCTGCTAAGAGACAAGGTGATTCGCCGACTGGACGGAGAAGGATAGGCGTTTATGCAGAGCAAGTGCGAATTTTCTGTGAATAAAGTAGTCTGGTTACTCTATGATATCGACAAAGCGGCTTTACACAAAAATTTTCCAAAATCGATTCTAGCAAGTCCCTAAAACCTCCTCAAACATTAAGACAGCTGCATTCGGTTATGGGAAGGCTTAACCATTTGCAGCGTTTCATACCGGACCTTCATAAACTAACAGTAATTTTCAGGGCGACATTTTTGCGTATAAAAAACAACCCTTCCTATGGCGGTAGGACTTAACTGAAGCTTTTCTTAACATTCTAGAAAGGATAGCGAAAAGTCTATAATATTATGATTCCTCAAAAAATTAAGACTATAATGCGATGCAAGTCACAAAGGTTTGGGAGCTAGCCTCGAACAAAAAAGGGAACCTGGCGTATGCGCACCAATCGCATTTCCGTCAAGATTTTAAAACAACGCGGAATCTAAATAAAGTACAAACTAACTCGAGTTGTTGGCTTTTGTTTGGTCTTGTGACCACTTTCATACGTACTTTCTGGGCGACAGACTAGCAAGATTGCAACGCCGAATTGCCCCAAAACCTCAGTCGTCTTCGCCACCGACAGACCACCCTGCCGCTCAGTCCAGTGAAGAAAACACGGTTGTCAACCTCACTGTTGACCCTTCTTTTAGTGATGGCTCGTGCGTTAACCCTAAAAACCAGGCGACTCGTACTTCTCCGACCCAATCGCATCTCTTGGGCCTCTCAATCAGATGCTACCTACGAAAAGAGGGATGTAGCCGCCAGTGACTGGTTCTCCTGGAAAAGAAGCCTTAACAGCGCCTGATCAGTCCGCCCAAACCGCGCTCATACCTGACTCAGGCTCAGAATAATTTGGACACGACTAGAGCTTCGACCCGCAGCAGAAAGCCTACAAGGTTTTTTGGCGACCCTCCCCGCCATTTGGTCAAAAGGGTGAAGGAAGAGGCGTCGGAACAATAACTTTTGGCAGTCATACCAGTGGTCATTGACGCTTTTCCTCATAAACCCATCGAGCTCATTCGCCATCTTCCGATCCCAACTACGCAGGAGCAGCTGACTCGGTTCAAGAAGAACGAAGTGCAAGAGCCGAAAAAATTTTAAACTGATGTTGATATTGAACTAGACTTAAAAACCATTCTGCTAAACTCTCTTATCAAACCTTTTTTTGCCGTTCTTGTGCCTTATCTTTGTTTATAGTTTACTCTCAAAACAGGCTAGGCTTCTGTGCCAAACTTAATCATTATTTCAAAAATACAAGTTTTCCTCTTCGTTACCTCGCATTGTGCGCGTACTTTTATGTTTGTTTATGTCTTCATGGATTCACCTTGCTATGTGTGGTTTCTCAAGGTCATATCTAACCGGTCGAAGCGCGGTGCAGTTATGCCTTACCTTTATCCAGTTGCACGATATCCCTAACAAGATATAGTCATATTGTAAGCTGAGTGCATATTCTATTCCTCTGTCTTTTCTATTTTTAAGTCTAAACAACGGCGTTTGCAAACGTCTTTTCAATTGGTAGAGTTTATCTACATTTTTGTCCGTAATCTATCTATCTATGGTATTTATTACTTTACTGTTAACTTTTAACCCTACAGCTTTGAGTCGAGTTATCTCAACTATTGAAATAGGTTTTTTTTAAACAGCTTGCTTGTACCAACATCCTCGCTTACGCCTTACCATGTACCCTCCCCCCTCCCGCCTTTGCTCACTTTCTTATTATTCGCTGAGGTTCGGTTTTACTTACAAATTTGTCTTTTAAGCGTAATAACTAAACATTAACGGAGTATAAGTAAGCAAATTGATGTTAAAAGTCGATACTGATTGTTTTTTAATGAAAAAACTGGTTTTGGTGAATTTTTGTGGAAAAAAAATGTTTCAAAAATATCGGAAAAGCTTATTATAATGAGTTATTTAATGAGATAAAATTTAACTGCACCAAAACATTAGCTCTTTTTTTTTCTAGCGTTTTAAAAAAAGATCCGAAAAAAGCCAAATTTTAGGGATCCATGTTTTTTACATTTTTTTAAGTAAGGAATTGTACGAAAATGTAATACATACATTTTTTATTAGATGAAAATTGAACGATAAGCAATTTTGATCAACCTGCCCTCTTGTAGCTTGTATGAGAATTTTTTTGACGGTGTAACGAGTTTTTTACAAGGCTAAGTAGGGCCAAATATGTCTGTAATAGCCTAATTATTTTAAATGTCAACTTTCATATCAATCAGACAAAAGCAACAATTTTTTTACTTATGCAAGTTTGCAGGTGGGAAAAAGAAAAAATAGACTGGTTGAAAATTGCCTGTATAATTTATATATACTTATTTTATAGGCAAGAGGACTTAAAACTCTTTATACAAATCTGAGGTCACATTTATGGTTGTCCTATTTTTGGAGCGATTTTGAGAGGTTCAATATTTTAAGTATTTGTTTTGGGAATCCAAAACAGAAAGGAAGATCTAAGAAAACTAGCAATGTTGCGGATTACGTGACAAACCTGATTCTAGCAGGTTGCGGAATCCGTTTACAGTGCACAGTTTGCACAGTTTGGCCTCGTTATGGTCAATGTTGATTCTAACACTCTTCTATCTACTGTTCCTATTCACATTTGTTATTGCTTGTTTTAATTTTTACCATTTTAGATCATATTGCTTTTTACTTTTTCTCACTCAGTCAATTTATCAAAAACTGAATTGCTTTTCTGCTCCAATTAGACTAGATATAAGTATATAAAATGTATTTTAATTACTAAATCAAATAATACTTTTCTAAATTTCTGTGGCTCACATCAATCGTTTCGCGAAATATATTCAAGGTTCTGTCAATTTTTGTTGTATCCCCACATACGAGGGGGTTCCATGAATTTTCCAAAAGCTGAAGATTTTCAATTTTTTGGAGTTGCTGAATCGTCGTCTCCAAAAGCAATAATAACACACTATTTACCAAAAAAATTGTTAGCCTTAATCGCCTTAGGTATTTTTTGGGTACTCTCTAACGCTGATAATCTCGGATCTCTTCTTTTCCTGATACAATAAGAAACAGTCATATTGTAAGCTGAGTGCATATCTATTATTATCTTAAAACTCTACTCTACGACGGCGTTTGCAAACGTCTTTTCAATCGGCAGAGTGTATCTGCATATTCTATCTTGAATATATCTATCTATGATACTTATTAATTTACTATTAATCCTACTTTTAACCCTGCAGCTTTGAATCAGTACTTGTCGGGTTATCTCAACTATAGAATCATATTTTTTTGAATCTTTTTTTTTCTAACAGCTTGCTTGTAACAACATCCCCTTTTACGCCTTCCCACTTGCCCTCCCTCCTCCCGTCTTTGCTCACTTTCCTATCATTTATTGAAATTCGTTTTTAGTTACAAATTTGTCTTTTAAGCGTAATAGAAGAACAGTAACGGAGTATACGTAGGCAAATTGTTGCTAAAAATTGATACTGATTGTTTTTTTTTAAAACTGGTTTTGCTGAATTTTTGTGGAGAAAAAAGTTTTTCAAAATTAACGGAAAAAATTATAATAATGAGTTATTTCATGAGATGAAATTTAACTGCCCCAAAAAATTAGCTATTTTGATTCTTTTTCTAAACAAATTCCGAAAAAAGCCAAAATTTAGGGATCCATGTTTTTTTACAACTTTTTGTAAGTAAGGAATTGTACGAAAATGTATGACAAACTTTTTTAATTATTTAAAAATTGAACAATAGGCAGTTTTGATCAACCTACTGTAGCTTGTATGAGCATGATTTCTTTGGTGTAACGAGTTTTTCACAAGGCTAAGTAAGAGCAGATATGTCTGTAACAGCCTAATTAGTTTAAATGCCATTTTTCATAACAATCAGACAAAAGCAACATCTTTTTCAATAATACAAGTTTGCAAGTGGGGAAAAGAAAAAATAGACTGGTTGAAGTTTGCCTGTATAATTTATAAATACTTATCTGATAAGCAAGAGGACTTACAACTCCTTATACGAATCTGAAGTCATATTTATGGTTGTCCTATTTTTGGAGCAATTTTGAGAGGTTCAATGTTTTAAGTATTTGTTGGGGGAATCCAAAACAGCAAAGAAAATCAAAGAATTGCTTTTCTGCCTCCGAAAAAACTAGATACATGTATAGAAAATTGTTTTAAATACTAAATCAAATAACACATTTCTAAGTTTCTGTGGCTCACATCAATCGTTTCGCGAAATTTCTTCAAGGATCTGTCAATTTTTGTTGTATCCGCACATACATGGGGTGTACTAGAATTTTCCTAAGGCTACAGATTTTCAAATTTTTGGAGTTGCTGAATCATCGTCCCAAAAAAATTGTTCGCCTTAATCGCCTTAAGTATTTTTTGGGTACTCTCTAACGCTGATAATCTGGGGTCTCTCCTTTTCCTGATAATCTTGATACCAAGGGGCCTAGAATTTTTTAAATATGGCCGATTAAACCTTGGCGAAATAGGGGCTCTTTGAGTGATGAGGGGGTCGTTTCCTGAGTAAGATTTTTTTTCTCAACACACGACCGATAATGACTATATTTATAGTTTCAAATGCTTGATAATATATATCACAGGCATGTTTTTATTAATTGACCAGCCCGAAGCGTAACCAAAAGGTTAATTATCTAAGGTTAACTAAGCTATGGGTATCTTACAAAAGCTCACCTTGTAAATTGCTGGGCAACATCACTACCGCTGCGCCACAGCACCACATTCATTTGTTACTTTGTTTGCAGAACCGAATCCACCGTCCGAGGTCGGCTACTTCCCAGACGACGAAGACAATGTTTACGTCTACTTCATTCCAGATCGCGATTTCCCCGCTGAAGGACAATGGCAAACAGATGTACTTTCTTCATACTCAGGTACGTCTAAAAGAGCGTAAATTTTTCCACCCCCACACCACATATTTCCTTTTTTTAACGTTTACATTGTTTGCGTTTAATTATTGCTAAATGCGTGACCCGAGTTGACCTCCATGGACCAAAATTGGTAATCATACAATTCCATAAACTAAGTATAAGAAAAAATTACTACTCATACAAATTTCATACATTTAGCTAAATTTTCAAAAATCTTTTTTCTTGTTTTGGCATAAAAGTCGGTGTATCGTACAAAAAAAAAATTTATTGTCAAAAAAATGCTAATCATACAGTTTCCATATATGGAACCTGTGTGACTAGCATTCTTTTGTTGGCAACAAACAAAACTTTTTCCAAGTAGTTTTTTTTTCAAGCGCAAACCAAGTTTTTTTTCCTGAAAAACATTTTTTTTTCTGCATAGAAAATTTAAAGTTTTATGTGCATAACGTAATCCTGGATGCATTAATGTTGATTTTTTTTTCGTTTTCGCTTAATAAGTTTTTTAGAATACGATAAAAAACATCTACTTTTTATATGGGCTTGTATGCCTTGATCAATGTCTGAAAACTTAAAATCTCAAATTTTAAAAATAATTATCTTTGAAAATGTTTGCCTAAATTCGAAAAAAATATATTTTCTTTATGTATTTTGTTTAAAACAGCCCTGAACAAAATTCAACTCGTTTTTTACGCATTCTAATTGTCAGACTGTACAACTTTTGGTGACTCCAGCTATGAGAAAACCAAGGTCTTTGTCACTTCCGTTCGATTACAAACACAATTCAAAAGATTTCAGAAATTAAATTTAGTAATTAAAATCAACTTTTTTAGGTTATGGTATAGTACTTATCATTCCAATTTTGCATATGGAAAAAGGCTTATCATAGAGTTTTCATTCAAATTTCTGTAAGAATGGAACTCTATGGTAAAGAGTTTTTCATATATGGAAATCGTACAAAAAGAAGTTTTGATCAACCGGGGGATTTTACAAAAAAGTGAAAAGTAGACAAAAAGCTTTCATTGCATTATAGCAATGTTAAAATAGTTTTTCCAATAGAAATTCAATGGTGGGGGAAATGGGTAAGAGACAAAAGCTCTTTTCCTGTTTTTTTCGGCATTTGTAACGCACTATCAGTAGTATTGTATCGTGTCCCGGATCCTAAGGGGGGGGTCCTTCCTAAGGGGGGGGTCCTCACGTAAAGCAAAATCCTAGGAAAAAGGTCCTTAATTTTTTGGAGGACCCTCATCCTAGGATTTTGTAAACGAAAGAGATTTTCCACCCAAAAAGCAGAAGACCCCCTACTTAGGATCTTGCTAAGTTTAGCTTAACAACAAGGGACACGATACAAAAATCTTTCTAATTCCAAATTTTGGGGTCCTAATTATTGGTCCTGATTAATTATATGAATCATATTAATTGTTATGCTTGTTTAGGGTAAATGAACTTTCGACCTAGTTGAAATTTGTCAGTGAACGGGGAATTGACTTTTATGGTATATAATAAAAATTCGCCGGCCATTTTGGCAGCGTAGCTTAACTGTTGGCAGCAGTAAACTAATTCCTTAACTTGACCTAAATTTTATGGTGAAAAGGCAGTAAATTGAAATTACTCTCAAAAGGCGGCGGCCGTTTCTGGGCAAAATATACCAAATGATAAAATTGTCAAATTTTGAAATAAGAAAAATGAAATTAGAGGGAACTTGGTGTACTGAAGATATTGATAATGAACATTTACAATTAAGAGTGTTTTCAACCGCAGAAAAAAACTCATTTTTCAAATTATGTAATGAACGCTACGTCGTCTTCCTCGAAAGGGCAAAGGAAATTTCAAAGAAAGAATACGAGTTGATTTTCAAAGAACAATTTTATTTGAGTGAGCTTCAACAAATCTCTTGGTGCATTTCTACAAAACAAAAGTATGGCACTGTGAGCGATTTGAATATTGCTGATTATGAAAACGTTTTCGACTATTCGTTTGACTTTAACTCATTATGGGTTGATAAAGACTTGGAGAGAAAAATCCGTCTATGTTTCAACAAGCTATCAAAATACAAAAAACTTCCGGTGGTTTATTTAATTATTTACCACCGTTATCTTAATGAGTCTAAATGGTATTTGCAAGGTCACTTTTATTTCCACTGGCTTGAAATTCAGCAGGTTGGAGAGGTGTTGGAAAAAATAAATAATGAAATTGCAAAAAAGCAGAGTAACTCCTATTGATTTGAAAATAATTCACGAAATTTATACGTCTTTGAAACAAACTTATCCTGATAATTCTAACCGACGCAACTATTTTCTAGCTGCATGTTCTCTGTTTTTTGTTAGTTCTGATAACCTTAACTACGACATTTTAATTAAGTTGAGACCTTATGGTGGCTTGATTGGTATTGATAACTCTTCCTTGGACAAATATTTGAAAAATTCCAAAATTTTACGATTGCACGCTATTTTGCACGATGCGGCCGGATTTATACACGAATTTTATCAACAGGGTCCCACGTACTGTTACATGTTGCCCTGGAACTGTAACAACAGCTTATTGGGACATTTGAGTGGAATAGCGTTCTGCCTTTTCATTAAGTTGAAAAAACCAGAAGTTTATCATTTACTAGAATGCTAGGCGAGAGATCAGTTGTGCTTGACGTGGAAGGCTTTCGTTACAAGAAAAACGCCTTTGTGGTTAAAGAATTAGCAATAACAACTTCAGACTACAGCGATCGACTCATTTTCCTACCTCCAGTGAATTTCAATATACTACCAAAGCTTGAACAAAAAGCTTACAACTGGTTAACTAATTATTTACACGGTCTCCATTGGGAAAACGGTGATTATCTTTATATAAACTTGAATCAAATACTTCAGAGTTTTGTGCTGAGAAATCCTGGTGCCGTTTTTTACGCTAAAGGAAAAGAAAAGACAGAATTTTTGGCCAAGTACTTGGACCGAAAGATTGAAAACCTAGATGATTTGGGCTGTCCTCGGGTTGAAAACTTATATTTTAAAAATTATCCAAGTTGCAATAAACATATTCCACATTACAACTCCAGGAATCATTGTGCCTTGAAGAAAACCAAGGTTTTTTATGATTGGTTGAAAAATGAACAACAGCGAGAGATCAGCGAAAGTGGAGACATACCTATCACAAAATTCAATGCTTTGTGCGTGGAGAGCGTATTGATTGCAATGGCCAAATTGTTCAGAGGAAGGAGCAAATAATAACTTCCGAAGAAGAGTTGTCTACGTTGAAGAGGTTTTTTCCAGTTATTGATCAATTTGTATACTTCCAGAGATTCAAGTTTATCAGAAATGTTAGCCAGCAAGCGAGGAGTATGTCTTCCCGAACTAGTCTTAGTACCCAAACGTCAGCCAGGAGTTCAGATGGATCTAAACAGCAGTGAATTGCCAGATGAGATTAAGACGATTGTGAAAGAGGATACTGTGAAGAAAATAATGTACTACAAAAAAACCGCAAATATCCCAGCAAACTTTGTTTTAGAAATGCATGACATAAATGATAGAGATTTCACACGTTATGAAATTTTTTACTGTTCTCAAAAGTAATTTAATTTTTTACAAGCTTCATTCGCAGAGAGAAAAAGTCTAACGCAGTCTGTAGAATAAATAGTTTCTCAAATGTCAGAAGCAACAACAGCAGTAGATGAACCTGACGCAACATTAGTAACAGAGTTTGTTTATAACGAGACAAACAGTGAAAAAAAATCATGGAAGTTTTGTAACAATGTAACTTTGCCAAGGTCTGAAGTAGTTTTTGTTGCGCAAATGGTAGTAATTCTAATTTTACTAACTTTCTGCATTCTCAAACTTTCTTTCACTAAATTAAGTTGCGAAGAAACGTCAGTTTGGTTCTCGATTTTATCAGGCTTGGTTGGTTACGTACTACCAAACCCAAGAATATGAATAAAGTGATTGATACTTCGACAAGAATTTTTATGGCGATAGTGGGACCTTCAGGATCCGGGAAAACTGAGTTAATTTTGAAACTTCTGATGGGAAATACTTTTTACCCTAAATTTGGAACCGTTCTATATCTTTACAAAGAGATGCAACCTGCATTCTCAGAAAAAGTGTCTTCTCGCGAAGTGAATATGGAGTTCATGAAATTCGACGGATTCGAATCTGTGAGAAAATTAGAAAATGTTCTTCTAGTTTTCGATGATGCATGTGAAGACATCTATAATGACAAGGAATTTGTTAGGTTAGCGACAGCGGGTAGACATAGAGGGATAGATGTAATATATGTTAAGCATAACTTGTTTCAACAAAGTCGATGGTCGCGTACGATTGATTTGAACACTTCACACATCATTCTGTTCAAATCGCCTCGCGACGTTCAGCAACTAGATCTATTAGGAAGACAATTGAATGTATCAAAATTTTTGAGAAACTGTTACGAATTAGCTACCAGAGACTCTTTTGGACATCTTCTAATCGACTTGGACCCCCGTACATCAGATTGTTTGAGATATTGTTCAAATATCACACCACCTGGGCCAACAGTTTTTTATTTACCCTTATCTGAAGCAGAAACTACTCCAATCACAAATGAAAAAGAAAAACTTATCTATTCTGCGGCATATGGTACAACTGAAACCTGACCAGCTAAGAAGATTAATTAGAAAAACTTCAAATCGTGAGATCATAACACTTGTTTGTGAATGTTTGCTCAATGTAGTCAATGGAAACGTACCCGTTAAAATCGCAAACATCGAACGATTCGAGACAGCATACAAATACTTATTAACTCCAAAAACCAGTGTTGTCAAAAAACGTGCGATTATTTTGAGTAAAGAAGGCTTCCATTTAGTTCGACAAATACTTTATTTTTGTTACAAGTACCTCACAACTTAATGATGACTGCTGAAGAATTCATTCTAATTCCGAAACATTTATATGTTAAAGAGCAGCCACATGCTGCACGTGTTCTTCATGATAATAATATTAAACATAAAAATGCTCAACTGTCCTATCTTAACCGGCTTAGAC